GTTGAAATCCGAGTTGAAGAAATGATTCGACAAATCATGCGCAAAATTAATTATAAATGGACGTGGAACGAACATGTCACTGATTTTTAGAAATCTATCACCATTTATTAGTGATACTGAACACAGACTAGAATAACACTGATCATCAACGATTTCTATACCCAGAAAAACCTAAACGCAAATGACAATTACATAAACTTAGTTTGCGATTTCATATTCGTAACTTTCGTTTAAAATCGCCGTCAATTACATAATTTACGGTTTAATATTCGTAAATTACGATGATTTTCTCTATATTTTACGTTTACTTATCCATAATAAACGACAAAGAAAAAAATATATTTTGACCGTAAAACACGACTTTTTGAAGTCTAAATTCCAATTTTCATGGCGGAAAAAAACCACTGGACATCGTTTTGGCGTTAAGCATAGATTACGCTTATCAAAACGTAATTTAGAAGTCACTATAAACTTACAACAAAATCACTAAATTTCAGAATTGCTCGTTGAATTTAAAAACCCCAAGTCCCCAATAATAAATAGATAAATAGATTAATCCTTTTATTGATATCCTAAGATACAAAAACTAATCCCGATTTCGTATTCGTAAATTTCATATTCGCGATTCGTATTCATAAATTCCGATTAAAATCGCCGTAAATTACATAATTGACGGTTTAATATTCGTAAATTACGATGATTCTCTCTATATTTTACGTTTACTTATCCATAATAAACGACAAAGAAAAAAATATATTTTGACCGTAAAACACGACTTTTTGAAGTCTAAATTCCAATTTTCATGGCGGAAAAAAAACCACTGGACATCACTTTGGCGTTAAGCATAAATTACGCTTATCAAAACGTAATTTAGAAGTCACTATAAACTGACACCAAAATCACTAGATTTTTGAATTGCTCGTTGAATTAAAAAATCCCAAGTCCCCAATAATAAATAGATAAATAGATTAATCCTTTTATTGATATCCTAAGATACAAAAACTAATCCCCCAAGGACAAAGGTAAATTGCAAAATTTCAATATTAAACAAAAGAAACTGGTGATAGATCTCCGAAAATCAGCGGCATGTCCCTGAAAATCAAAGCTCCTTTTCTCTGAGATTATCAATTCCAATAACGTAAACTCTCCACTATAATTCCATTCAAAATATAACATTGACGGACACTGACCGACGCACGTGCCCCCGCCATCAAGCCGTCGCATGTGTCACTCTCCCAAAAGCCAAAATAAAACTCTCAAAATCGAGAGGGAGCCAATGGTTTGCCGCTGGTGGTTGCGTCCATATCTCGCACAGCAAAATGGAGTTTCCGTTGGGCTGGCGCATACACAGCAGAAAACCAATGCGCTTTCACCCCGCGTGCAGTCACACGAGTCCTTTTTTTAATCTCCAACGACGACGACTACAACACGGCAGATGCAATTACGTCAAAAACACGAAGTGAAAACTGAGCTGGAGTGAAAAGTGGAGGGAAATAGTGTCCAGCTCTTCCACGGGATAGTTACCATCGATATACAGCATTTCACCACTCAACAAAAAATCCATTTTGCCTCTCTGTGTCACAGCGAGCCCTTAATTCCATCAATTTATCCACGTACAATCGAATTTTCCATTCCCACGCGGAGGTTAAGGGGGAAATATACAACACATTTGCCTGTCGATACATTTGAAAATTTGTAATTAATTTATGGTGAACTGGTTATGATATTTTGCATGCACACGACGACCCCTGAACCCGGAGAAATCGATTTTGGAAATTGGAAATGTGCGAGGAATGATGCATTTACCGACGATTGCTGTTAAGTGCTTTCGTGTGCAAACTAATCCTCGCATTTTTGTTCTCATTTGTTTTTTTTTCCCTTCAACCGCTGTTTTTTCCAACTGTTTCTCCGGGTTGTAAGCGAGTCGTTGGGATAATTGAGTCTCCCACCCGAAGAAAATCCCTTGGAGCTATTTTGTACGCTTGTTGGACTGCTGTAATCACCGGCCGCACGCCTGCACGAAACATTTCTTTCTCAGTCTCAAAATTCTATACATTTTTACATAATTTCTCTCTTTTTTTGGTTAATGGTCTTCGTATTTGTCGTCCTTGACCACAGATAAACGTTCAACCAAATCCCTTTCGGTGTTATATGTGAATTTATCACTCATGTAATTCAAATTAAATCCCTCACGATTATTTTTTCCTTTTCGCTGCAGTATTACATATGTGAAGGAGTTATTTTATAAATGTTGGAAATTATCCCCACTGTTCTACCTCTCTTCGCCCCCACCATCCTGGAATTCTGTTGCTGCACGATTTTGTTGTTCTGTCGTTTTTCTCCCCAGCGACTGGGGCAACTGTTTATAGCCGAGTGTAGCGCATTTGTACCGGGGTTAAGTGGATTTCTCTGGTGATTGTATTCGGGGGTAAAAACAAGTTTTACGCATTTAATCGGTGCTCAATGTACACGCAATAAATTCGATACACTCGGCTATTCAATTGATGGATCCCATGGAAAACGCGCTAATCCCGGCATGATACCTCTTCTCTTGATTTCCAGTGTTCCCCCTCTGTTCCTCTCTTGTCCAGGAATTCGGGGATATTCATTTAGGAGTGAATCCTCTGTACTGGAAGAGCAGTCGGCATTCGCATAACGAGCAATTGAGTTACTGTTTTAAGTTGAGCGAATGCTCAAATTGAGGGTCGTTGACGAATAAATTATTCAATTTTTCATCATTCTTTTTTCTGATGAAATACGAGTAGATCACGACGGGGGAGAGGTACCCGCAAATTTAAGAATATTTTTTCGGGGATTGCAGTGGGAAAAAATTGGAATGTCATGATCTCTCGAGGGAGAATCCGCAGGAGGGTAACGTGGAATTCGATTTGAGGGGAAGTGTCTTATGAAATTCCAGGTGAAATTTACGACGCATGTGAATTTTTAATTAAACAGGAATATTTAATATGAAATTTGGTTGAATTTTCAATATTGCAAAATTTCACAAATTTTTTCCATTCGAATTTTACCACTCTCTAATAATTTCTACTGACTAATTAAACTACATTCGAAGTGTACATTGATTTTATGATTAAATTCTGAATTCTCTATAATGAACTTTCCTGAAATTCCAGTGGAAATGCTACTTATTAGAAATTTCTGAGATTTATACCAAAACTTTTTTAATTTGATTTTCTTTATATCTCGATAAATAGTTCAACAGAAAAGGTAATTTTCCTTTTAATTAATATTCTTACAAATTTACAATCGAAATTTAAACTCAGAAAATCTTAACATGTGTAACAAGGAGCAATTGATATGAAATAAAAATTTCATATGTATTGTTATTGATGAATCAGTTAATTTCTGAAATATTTGATGAAATTTTAATTTTCAGACCCATCCGACAATGAAATTTATTTAAAATCATAAGAATGCAGGTCATCATTGTATTTTCTATAGAATTTCCGCGGCTCCAATTTTGTAAGTTTTTTTGTTTGATTTTCTTGGTAAGAAGACAACAAAATGAAAAAAACTTGGAAAATTTGAGCCGAGGAAATTCTATAGAAAACATCTCAATGCAATAAGTCACATAGAAAAATCGAGTTCTATTTACTTTTCCGTGGAATAATTTCTATTGAACATTCAATAGAATCGGCCAAAAACTAATATAAAGTTCAATAAAAATCCAACAGAATTTTCTAACGAAAAATTCTCCACGTCCGTGTATCGAACGACATTTTTTGTCATTCCTGCCGTAAGGCAGCGTTTCACGGTGTTCAATCTCTGCCTACGGCCGTCATGACAAAAAATATTGTTCGTCATACGGCCAAAAAAACTGTTGTGACGAATATGATTGCAGCCCTCGCCTTCGGCTCGTGCTGCAAACCTCATATTCGCCAGAAAAGTTTTTTTCGGCTCAATGACGAAATATACTATTTTATCCCTCAAATCGATTCGCCTCGCGTCCGTAAGGCACCGTTTCACGGACTCAGTGACAAAAGGAAAATTCTCCAAAGTACTTGAATATCCGCAAACCATACTCTCCCCCTCGACCGGGAATCTTCAATTAATAATAAATGAGTCTTCTCGATCGAATTAGAATTTCTCGACTATATCCTTCAGTAGGAAGAAACTTCCGACTAGCCACACGACCCGCGCAAAACCCCGGGGGACTTAATCAGGAATACTCGAGATTACTTAATCCAGAATCTGACAAATGCTCGCTATGCAGGTGCCCGGCGGCCGAATGCCATTTGAAATCCTGGAATGCGATGTAACGATTTTGCAACCACTCTCTTCCCCCTACCCACCCGCCCTCTTCTGAAACACCCCTCATAACTGCCCCCGTACCCCAACCCCTTCTTTATTATTGTCAGACGGTGCGTGTTGATTGCCACGGAGGAATGTTATTCCACTGAGACGGCAGCACGAAAGAATTATCATCGGTAAACCCCGGCGAGCGGGACTGACCTTGATATTTACACACACCGGAGACATTTGATTATATTAAATGCCGCATTAAAAATCAATATATCATCTTTCGTATTGCCCTCAATGTGGGATAAACAGTCTACCAAGTAAATATAAACACTTATGCTATGAATTTTTCATCAACCGCTGAAATAATATTCAATCAAATCAAAACCATAAAAATGAAAATTTTTCTTCTTTTGAAAGCAAAAAAAAAGCTTCATGCATTCATTCTGTGTGTTACTATCAATGTCTAAATATAGACATTCATGTCATGATTTTTTCATCCATCGATGGGATGTTATTAAATTGAATGAAAATAAGAGCGATTTTTTTAAATGGAAATGAAAGTTTTTTCGTGTGAAGAGAAAAATTCATAGATAAGTTTTTGACGTAACCCCGCATTAATGTAGCCCCCTTTGTTCACCCCGAAAACCATTGAATAATTTAAAAAACCCCCATCCCAACCAATAAATGTCTTACTGTACGTTAGAGTGGAGATTTTTGTGTTTTTGTTCTCTCGGCAGTTGGATACACAATGCGCGATATTCGGTACAAATGGCACGACGGCTCAAAATCTGTCAGCATCGCGAGTGAGGTGGAATTGCCGCAGTTTCGCGTGCTCGGTCACAGGCAGCGAGAGAGAACCATAGGCCTAACCACAGGTACATATAAGCAAGACTAAAGAGAGAATAAGATGCATACAAGCGAGAATGCAAAAGTTGAAAGAGATGAAATAAAAAAAATACATATAGAGATTGTCTCGTACGCTCGTACCTCTCTTTATCACGTCCATCCTGTGTACACTTCACTCTCGCCCCAAAGAGCCACGAGAGAGAGAGAAAAAATAAACTGGCGGACAAAGAAAACGTGGAGTGAAGAGAAGTGATACGCAAAATATCGCTGACGAAAGAATGAGAATGAGACGATGAAGAAAATGAGAGATAGAGAGAGAGAGAGA